TTTTTTGTGATTCACTTTCGATCTTGTGTTTGTTTCTTCCTCTTCTGAATTTCTCTGATTTTAAACTATAAATTTTTTACCAATTCATCAGAGTTTTACCCAAACATTATTTTTACAACGCTTTTATATTTTCCTAAGTTTGGCGTGGTTTATTCAATTTTTAAATTTTACAATTTTTTTTTTTTTTGTAATTTTCAACGTTATTCTTTTAATTTGTACTATTTTTGTTTAATTATAATTTTATAAACTAAGATTTTTTATCTTCTCTTTTTTCGCTTTATAAATGATTTATATTTTTACCGATTTTTTTCGATAATTTTTTGCTTTTTCGATATTTTAAATTTTGAGCATTCTTTCGAGATAGCGATATTTTAGTTTTCATAATTTCTTCTTTTTTTTACTCTTTCCCCAATCAACTCTCGTTTACTATCCTCTACGAGTTTCAACGAAGTTGAAGCAGTCTCTTCAATGCTTTGGTAATCTAGCTTTATGAAGTAGTCAAATCTATCATACAGCTAAAGCGCCAAAGCGATGAAAAGCTGCCAGTTGGCGACCGACGCAAGAAAGCTCTTTTCATGGTGAAAGCTAGGAAAGTATGTGTCGCCTAAAATTATGCGCGATTTAGAGCTTTCAACTAACAGCACAGCAAAGCAAATGTAACATTAGGAAGGCAAAAAACAAACTGGGCGAAATATGCGTAAACTTATTAAAGCACTAAAAAAAGTCATTAAATAAAATCAATGGAAAATCGTCAACCTCTTGACTTGAAATTTATTCAAATTCACTTAAAAATTTCACTGAAACCACTATAAAACACTTCCTAACTCCATCGTCGTTTATAGCCGTTATTCCAGAAACTTTTATTAAGGTACAAAGTTACCCTCAACAATGCATACTTGAGAGTCACTAAGTACCTGGACAAATGTTTCTGAGCTGCAGTGTGGGAGGGAGTGGGTGCAAAATGTGGTGTCTGCGCTTGGAGCTTTATTTAAGCTTGCACTGGTGGAGCCTTTTAGGCATTTAAGCACGCACAACTATGATGTTATAACTACAGTTTTTTTTTTTTATTCTTATTTACAAATTTATGTGCACTAATAAATAAATAAATGATGCCACATCAATTCGTACTTACCATTTTCATTGNTTGCAGTGTGGGAGGGAGTGGGTGCAAAATGTGGTGTCTGCGCTTGGAGCTTTATTTAAGCTTGCACTGGTGGAGCCTTTTAGGCTTTTAAGCACGCACAACTATGATGTTATAAATGCACTGTTTTTTTTTTTTTTATTCTTATTTACAAATTTATGTGCACAAATAAATAAATAAATGATGCCACATCAATTCGTACTTACCATTTTCATTGAATTGCATGTTACACCATTTATGGTCGACGATTTTGTCGAGTGTCAGTCGATATGTGGGATTTGTAGCTAATACTTTGCGTAGCAACGATATCGCCAGCGTGTCCAATTTACTCCATGGCGTTTGTGTTGACCATCGTTCATTATCAGTCCAATTTTTGAATTCTTGACAATTAGTAGAAGGTTGATCCCAGGCCAGTTCTGTGGTTGAATTGAAATTGAAAGATGATCGAGTTGTTAAAATATTTAAACGAGTTTTGTTTTCACTTAGTAAACTATTTATTAAATTCTATACTTAACTAGTGTTCCGAAGAGTGTCTCATTATGAGACTGTCATATGATTAACAAAATATGTATGTATTTAGTAGAGCATTTCGTCTTTTGAAGTTGCACATTATTTTGCGCATTACTCCTTATAAAAGTTATGGGTACTGGAATATATCAACGCGGAAATTTGTACTCTGATGTTTTGATGTTTTTTTTTAATTCTCTAATATTTTTAATTTTGCTTTTTATTTCTTTTATNGCATTATTTTGCGCATTACTCCTTATAAAAGTTATGGGTACTGGAATATATCAACGCGGAAATTTGTACTCTGATGTTTTGATGTTTTTTTTTTAATTCTCTAATATTTTTAATTTTGCTTTTTATTTCTTTTATCGTATTCAAATGTTCATCTTATCTTATTTTTATTTGTATTTTTTGTATATTTTATCGCATTTTGATTTTTTTAATTTATTTTGTTTTATTCTTCATTAATTTTATTTTATTCTTTTTTATTGTATTCTTTTACTTTAGAATTTTTTTTTTTTATTTTTTACTCTTGTTTTATTTCTTCGGTTTTTATTTTATTTTATCTTATTTAAATTTAATATTTTTCTGTTTTATTTTATATTATTCAAATTTTTATTTCTTATTTTATAATATTGAAGTTTTTATTTTTTCTTTTCTTTTATCTGGTTGAATTTTTTTGGTTTTATTTTATCTTATTTTGATTCTTATTTGTTTCATTTTATTCTATTTTACTCTGGTTTATTCTTTATTTATTTTGTTTATTCTTTCTTTATTTTTAACGAACTTCAAAGGTTATCAATTCGTAGGAATATTTTTTGTTTGTTTGTTTTTTTATGTATGTTACCGCATAATTTTTTTTTTCTTCGGAAAGTGACACAATAGTGGTCACATACTAATTTGGTTCATGAAAAAATTAACGGTACTCCCTAAATTTTTATATGTGAATGGATGTCGATGTTATTGGTTAAAAATTACTTGTATTTTATTCTTTTTTATTGTATGTGATTTTAAATTTTTTAGTTTTGAATTTCGTTTTTTGTTAATTAATTTTTTTTGTTTTTTATTTTTACTTTAATTTCTTTTATTTTTATTTTACTTTTACTATAACTATATATTTTAGGTGCATTATTATTTATAAAAGTTTATGGGTATCAAATATGTTAACGGGAAAAATATAATATACATTATATTTTTTGTTTTTTAAGTTGTCTAATATTTTTATTTTTTAATTTTAATTTTTATTTATTTGTTTTATCTTATTTTGATTATTTTTTTATGTAATTGTATTCCTTTTTATTTTGCTTTATTCTTTATTTTATTTCATGCTTTATTTATTTTATATTTTTTTCATTTATTTTATTTTATTTTTGTTTTATTTTGTTATTTCTCATTTTAATTTAACCTCTTCCTTTTTTATATTTTGTATCCCTTTTTATTTTTATTTATTTTAAATTTGGAATTTTTTAATTTTTTT